CCTGCCCAGGCAGCAAGGCATTCTTTGTCAGAGCAGGGAACATGAGGAAGAGGCCCCTAGATGCTTCCACCCTCCAGAAGAGAAAGGGACAGTCATTGTCTGGGGGGCCTGAGTGTACTCTGAGGTTGTCTGAGTTCAAGCCGGGCTCTTTCCTACTAGGATAGGTGTCCTTTCCTCTCCATCCAGGCTTCCTGTCCCACTTGGAGCACAAGAGAGGTTTACATATCATCTCCCAGGCTAAGGCCGAGACCTTCCCCCTGGCCTGGATTCGAGCCTCACCCTAAAATCAGGCTGCTCTGGCTGCTAGCCCAGTTTCAACCACAGGAGCCAACGTGGCCTTCCTTGAGTGATCTGTGCCGGATACAAGTCTGTGTTACCACATATGTGTGATTGAGGGGGTTGGTAAGCGACTGGTAGCTCATATCTAGCTACTCAGGAGACTCGAGATCTGAGGATCACAGTTCAAGGCCAGGAAAAGTCCATGAGACACTTATCTCCAATTAACTGTCTCCCCTCCCCCCTCCCCCCTAAAAAAGCCAGAAATGGAGCTGTGGCTCAAGTGGTAGAGAAGAAGACTTGAGCACAAAAACTCAGGGACAGAGAGCAGACCTTGATTGAGTTCAAGCCCCAGAACCAGCATGCAGCACACACACACACACACACACACACACACACACACACACACACACACACACACAGCCTGCTATAGGCTGGGGATCAGGAAATCGGGTGCAGGCTCAGGTCCAGAGGGGATGACCTTACCACAGCACTCTTGGGTCTCAGATCACTCTCTGAAGTTTCTGCACATCTGGCTTTAGGACAAAGGTTTCCTTCTTGTGTTCCCAATCATGAGCCCACCAGGCACTTGGAATAGTTTTAGCAGGCAAGAACACAGCACCAAGACCATCTCTGCTAGAAAACCACGCACTCTGCTACAGACATATTGCTTTTAAAAAGCCTTCTTTGAACTGGAGGCCATAGTTTACAGCTGTAATCCCAGTGATTCAGGGAGTGCAAATTGGGAAGATGAAGATTTAAGATGCTCTTGGGAGCCGGGCACTGGTGGCTCACACCTGTAATCCTAGCTACTCAGGAGGCTGAGATCTGAGGATTGCGGTTCAAAGCCAGCCCGGGCAGGAGAGACCGTGAG